CTCCAGCCTGGGTAGCAGAGAGACTCCATCTCAAATAATAATAATAATAACAAGCAGGTTGAGTCTAATAATTCATAATTCCACTTCTAGCTTTCTGTCATTTCTCTGCACATCTATAATATGTGTAATTGGTGTCATTCATATGACACTTAAAATGTACTGCCTTGCCCTGTAGCTGGTGCTCTGGGCTTGCTTCCTGGAGCAGCTGAAATGTATTTCATATTGTGGAGTGGATGCTGTGGTGTGTCCACTGAGGCACTCCTCCCCATCCACTGGGGTGTTGGCAGCTGATGGCTCTTTTCTGAATCTCTATCCAGCCCTTCCAGGCATGTGGGATGTGGGGTAGAGGGAGTTGACAGCCAGCATCCAGTGACCATGTGACTGGCATTCAAATACAGGGAACCACTTCCTTCCTCCCATATAGGCAGTGGGCAACAAAGGCCATGGGGAAAGCTCTAAAGAGCTACTCTGGCATCAGAGCCTCCCTTGCAATGGGCCAAGGTCTTTTCATGACTGCATCATGGTCCAACCTTTTCCTCGTGTAGCCTGTTTTCCTTACTCCCTCAATAGTGTGTTCCTGAAAGCACTCCCCAGTCAACCCACTCCATGCAAATCTCAGTCTCAGGTCTGTTTTCTCATGCTAGTAATTCTGTTCCTCACCACTTTCCTGCCTCTCTCATGTACCCACCCACCCCCAGTGCAAGGTAGACTGACATGAACTAACATCAGCAGGGGCTGCGGCAGCATGAAAGAGCAGCCCATGCTGGGAGAAGCCCTGGTCTTTGTCTCCACAAATGCTGAAACTGACAGTTTCTGCCAGAATCCAAGTCTCCATTAGCCAAGATAAGAACAGAGGACATGTTCTCCACTGGAAGGCTCACGGTATTTTGTTCCTGCTCATCTCTTTCCATGTGTGTATCTAATTCCTGGCAGCAGCTAGAGCCGAGGGACTGGGTCCTACATAATAAGACCAACAGAATATTGAAAAGTTGGCCTGTCTTTTTGTTCTAAAATCAAATAAAACCCCTGGTTTTCAACCTGCTTCCTCTTTCAAAAGAAAACCAGGATGAAACTGATTACACAGTGATGGTCTGGGATCCATCATCACAGATGGTGTCAAGGTTTCAGTAGGGTTTGCTGTTCCCTTCCATAGTAAAGGGAAACATTGCTTTTAGCCAACCCCTGGCTCCTCACATATTGCAATACACCAACTTCATTGTTGCTCTTCTGAGGGTGTGCAATTTTAAACTAGATTAATTCAAAAATTAAAACACAGATACACACACATCTTTTTTTTTTTTGGTGCCGTGACTCGGATTTTTTTTTTTTTTTTTTTTTTGTTTGGTGCCGTGACTCGGATTTTTTTTTTTTTTTTAATAGTGTCTTGCTCTATCACCCATATTGGAATAGAGTGGCTCACCCATGGCTCACTGCAGCCTCTACCTCCTGGGCTCAAGCAATCCTCCCACCTCAGCCTCTCTAGGAGGCTGGATAACAGGAATGCACCACCATGCCCTGTAATTTTTGTGTTTTTTGTAGAGACGGCGTTTTGCCATCTTGCCCAGGCTCACACACATCTTTGCCTTTAGGGCCAACCGACGGCATTATGTCCTCTTGTGTTTACATAAACCTTTCAAACAATGGATACTGACTTTCCTTATGCAGTATCATTTCCTTCTGCTGTATACTTTCCTTCAGCAGCCAGGAGTAGCTGTGCCTGATTTTTTTTTTTTTTCACTCAATTTTTTGGTCAGGATCTCAGGCGTTTGATATGATTTATAGAAACACAAGAAATAAAACAATGAACTGCAGACTTGGGCCTATTTAAATAATTCAAACATTGTCTAACATTGCGTGGTTCCAAAAGGAAAGAAGAACAGTCGACACCAGAAAATTTCCTGCTGGAATTCTGCCAAAGAATCGCTGGCTGTCCTAGGGAGGTCCATCATTATGGGACTTTGCTGTTTGTAAATGTAATAAACCACTCACATCTGCTTATAATATCATGGAAGTCTATGTGAAAAATACTTCTTATATAAAGCACATGGTTTTCTTCTTGTAGTATTTGTCAGCATATACAGGAAAAACACTATATCTGTATTTACACTTAAGAGTCTAGGCCACAGCATTCATGGCCTACTTGTGCTTTGAGTCACAGCATGGTACGGCTGATACCTTAGAAATCATCTAGTCTCTCCCCATTACAGTGCCACCAAGGCCCAGAGAGATAAAGGACTCCAGGGCAGTGCACACGGAGTTAGTGCCAGTCAGGGCTCAAAGGGTGCCACTGCCCTTCCTTCCTTCCTTTCTCTCTCCGTCCCTCCTTCCTTCCCTCCCTTTTTAGATATTTCCTTCCCTGCTTGCTTGCTTCCTTCCTTCCCTCCTTCCCTCCCTCCCAACTTGCCTTCCTTCCTCCATTTTTCCTCCTCCTCCTTTCCTTTCTTCCTTCCTTCTTTCCTTCCCCGCTTTCTTCCTCCCTACCTCCCTCCCTCCCTTCTTTTCTGCCTTTCTTCTTGTGGACTAGGTGACTTGGACTCCTTGGTTTATGGCACATTACCAGCATCACTGGCTGTCCACTGTTCCTCTTATATTTTATCCCAATATAAAATATTGGACCACTCCCTTCCTCCCATATAGGCAGCATTCTGATTGTTTAATGTGCATATTAATTTTTACATACTTAAAAAATGTGTGTCCCCTCCTCCCCACCTTGCAGTATGCTTGAAGATGTGCCCACATTGTCCTGCATGTGAGTTCGTAGCCCATTGCTTCCCGCTGCTGCAGTTCTCCAGTTCTACAGCTTCTCCTGCCATATTCCCTGGTCTCCTAGCCAATTCATCCAACAGTAGTTCCATGACAGCCAATCTTGGCTCACTTGCTCTTTTTCAAGCAAAAATCACATGTTTTCTCTTACTAAACGTATAAGGCAGAACAAGTCCAAGGAATATAAGTGACTTAGCAGTGGTTTCAATAACCTTTCACCTCTAGATAAATTACTGGTGTGATTTAATATAATACAGACATAAAGTATCCGAAAGCTGTTTTTATTCTATCAAAATGGGTGGAGTGCTTTTAAAATGTTTTGCCAGCACTACAGTTCTCAAGAGAAAAATATCTTCATTGTCCTAAAAAAAAAAAAAAAAA